GGCAGGGAAAACCAATAAACTTCATGTAGTCCTTTCCCACATTCATTAGATTGCTTGCCTAATTTCTGAACTCCACCCACTGACAGGGTAAGAGTGTTTTGAGATGCTTCCCTTCTTACCAGTCTTACCTAGCAGTGCACTGCATCATGACATACATATCATGAGACCTGAATGGGATCCTGGGAATTAGTGCTAACATTTTAAGAATGGATAGAATTCAAATAAGAGTCTCTCTTGTCAACCAGTGAAATCCTATGAACAGCAGACTATATATATGCAGGTCAAGTCTGCTTTATTCCTAATTAAAACCAATGGCAACTTCCTTCCTATCTGTAAGTTTTCTAAATATTAACGTATCTTCTATTAAACATACACTCAATATATCTACACAACTAGGGACACATGTAAAAGAATAAACCTAGGGTAAGATAGACACACGCATATCCTATCATTTAAAAATTGTTTTCTTTGTTCAGGGCTTCCTCAAAAGTATAAAAGATGGCTCTGGTGACTGTACAAATCTAATCATTCTGTTTTTATCTCTTCTGGAATTAAGTTCTCACAGACTTTGCAGCGATCCACTTAAAATGCAGATTACCTTTGCCCCGTGATTTTTAATTGGTGAAATAAAACATTGTGCCTTTCTCTACCCCACACCCCAAAATTGGGAAACATGAACAAACATCTCTCCAGATGCACAATCTTAATCCCAAAATACTGGCCACATTTATTCATCATTTTTCCAGTAAAATCTGATAGGCTGCTTTCTTTCACTTAACATTATTTCATAAGACTTTTTTCTTTATAATTATTGTTAATGGCTCTACCAAGTGAATGTGTACCATAATTGACTTAATGCTATTGTGGGGCCTTTTTTCCTTCTATTTTTCACTCCTTTAAGTTGGGATAAACACTTTTTATACAAGGTATTAATTTAAAGCCACATACAAAGATAACTATATCACTAATCTAAAAATACAGGGCTTATATATTTACAACTCACATTTGATTATGACATTTGAGAGTAATTAAGATACTTATATTCCAAACAGCTCCTCAACATATAGTTCTCCCTATGCCAGATAGGCACAACCATGACTAGCCAGTTTCACCCAAGACCACATAGTCCAGTGAATTCTAAACCACAGTTTTTGTATGAAAAATAAACTTCAGGATCTCATGCTGATTTACAACCAGGAGATCAAGAACAAGGACCAGAATCCATGGTTCTAGGTGTGACCCAGACAAGGTACACTACAACCACAGGTGCCACTGGGGTTTCTTGCTCACTAAAAACCTCAAAGTAGCCCTGTTTGTGCTTTAAGTCCAGATGTATTCAGAGATCACCTGGAAGTCCTTGCATGACCAACCCAGAAGTATCATGGGAATAGGCCAAGGAATAACTTGGATGAATATCAGCGATGTGATGCTTATTTAAGTTGAGCATGATTCATTTCAGGTTGAAGATTTTGCTGCATGGATTTCCATGACACTGTGGATGTGTGCAACCCATTAGCCCTGTGACTCCAAGTAACTTACGGAAAAAAAAAAAAAAATTCTTATGCCTCAGTATCTCAGTCTACAGTATGGAGCTAATCTTTCCACTGTGAGAGTATTATAATCTTCAGATAAGAAAATGCAAATGAGGCACACAGGAATGCTGGCATCCAGTTAGGACACAGAATTGTACCACATACGTACAGAATGTTAATTCAACACTGTAACACACTTACTTTCATTTCCTGAATGGATGCATGAAGGAATAATGAATGAAACAATTTGAGACAATTCCATTTATCTGATAGTCTTCTGAGAATGTACCGTTTAATTTCAAGACAAATAATTTCCTTAATGGTGATTACTATAAGCCTGATCCTCCCAATACACTGTAAGTGGATGCCCTATAATGATGTGTCTACCTTGTTCCTAATGTCCAAGAAAATTCCATTCAGCCATCAAAAGAAAGTCATAATCTCATCTGAGGCCAAAATAAATCAACTGCAGAAGTCCCTTGGTGTCTTCCCTATCAGTGAAATCAGGACAAGTCAATTACTTCTACTTTCAACAAATGAGGCTGATTAAAAGTCCTAAGCATTGTCATCTTTTTTACTAAGAATTATTTTTATGTACCTAAGTACATAAAAATACTTGTAAGGCAGAAAAAAGCTTTAGAATATTATTACTATTATTATTTTGCCACTAGCAATTAATTCTTCTGACTTGTTTTATGGGTGCAATGGTTGGTCCAACACTCAGGATATCTTTCCAAACCAGTAGAGTGATATAAGAAAATTATTTCAGTGCAGTTCCTGGCAAATCGTGATGATGAATAGCATGGTAGGACAAACTTATTCAGACACACATTTTTTAGTAGTGGCAGGGAAAAGGCTGAAAAATTACTAGTAAATTGCTTTTTGTAAAAATGCTCTCTCTTTCAAATTTTCCCTAGTACGAAGGCCCTGTGCACAATGATGGCACAATACATTCTGACATACCTGGACAGCAAAGGCAGCTTCAAGAATGAATACCAGATAAGAATGAGAGTTAAGATTTAATTTTCTTAATATGCCCCTAGTTTCCAATACTCTGCCCCCCACACCAAGTTCATCTGTGTGCATCTTTTTAGCCTATAGGGATAAGTGACTCTAAAAGATAGCTATTTATTATCTCTTCTAGCAAGCTTGGCCTGTCCCACCCACTATATACAATTTAGTCTTCTGCAGAACAGAGCCAGGATATAGATAAATCTCTAGGTTTTTTTCCTTTCCTTTTCACGCTAAAACTGACCTGCTGGTGTAGTTTCAAATTATAGAAGCTTGAGATATGCATAGCCCCCAGTAAAGAAGCAAAGACCTGCTTTGCTTTCTCTAAGAGCCTTGACTTTCAGGACACATGAGAGATAGTGGAACTTAGGCATCTGGGATGGAAATAGCTAAGGCAGTGGTCTCCACTGGGACAGTCTGCCCCCTGCACTCATTTGGCAAACTCTGGAGTCCTTTCTAGTAGCCGCAGGGAGGAAAGCATGTTACTTCTTTCCTGTGGCTAGAAGCCAGAGATGTCGCTGCTGCATATCCTACACTGCACACAAGAGTGCCTCCAACTATGAGTGGTCTGGACTGAAATATCAGCAGTGCAGGATTAAGAAACCATGGTCTAAACTCAATCAAATCCTACAGAAATTACTCTTGTTATCCTTCTACATTATTACCAGTTAGTTCACTGCACAGTATGAAGAACTTGATTTTTCTGTAAAGCCTTTCACTTGGTAACAACTGGTGGCAGCCTGCATGGGGGCAGGACCATACTGGCTCTAGATGCCAGGGTCAGTTATGGAGGACCCAGACTGCAGTCAGGGGCTCCACAGGTTCCTCTCTTCTTCCCCTACACCAAGCTACCTCATACTGGCCTGCAGTGCTGACTCAGTAAAGACTAAGGACATGAGGAGAGGTTGGACCTCTGTTGGACACCTGGGTCTACAAAGAGTGTGGATTCTAAGTCGGATGAATTAGGGTCTTACTCCTGCCTGTGCTTACTGTGTGATACTGAATGAGTGACAGAGCCTGTTTGACCGCATGTTTCCCTCTTGAAATAGGAAGCATAGTACTGATCTTTAGGGATATCTTAAGGAGAGCCCTAACATAGCATCTGACTCATGAGTGGTAGCCACCGTTTTGGAGTCCTTGTGGCATTTCTCAAGAACTGCTACTACAAGTCTCCAGGCTCAGTTCTCAGGGCCCCCAGAAAAGGATACAAGATCTAACAACCCTGGGCTGAGGAGTACTGCAGTCACCACTTGTGACTGCAACCTTTCCTCTCTGGATACTAGCCATGCCAGAGCCCTGTACAGTAGCTACATCTCCAATACTTCCCATCTCACAGTAATGTTCTCAAAGGCAAGGGGTATAGCAAAGGGCAGCTTACCAATGACAACAGTAAGATTTTTTTAAAAAATTGTGCTTTCTTGCTTTAAGTTTAGCCCTCAGGAAAGTTCTTCCATGTGCAATAAGCAGCTGTGAATCTGCCTAATAAAGTGAAGGCATTTTACCCCACTGGTATTCCCCGAGAGGAATCATTGGCCACCTGCATCTTTTTAGCTGCATTTAATAATTCAGCCCAGGATGAATTTGCGTGATTAACATAAAGCCTCATGATTTTATTTTCTTTCAGGATTTAAGTACGGAAACAACTACCATTGTTTTCATTTTCCAAGACTATGATCAAAACACAAAACTTGAATCTAGAATAAATAATTTCTTTTAATTTTTTTAGAAGTATTTTCAAATTCTGTTCCATGGGAGCAAAAAAAGAGTCGCTACCATTGTATTTGTGGATGCAGGGAAACCCAGGTTCCTTTTCCAACTGGTATTAACCCATGAGAAGCAAACCAACCCTCCACAATGTACCCTTGAAAGATTTCAGTGCAGGACTGTGGCCAGCTCCCACAGAATCCACGATGGCTAACCTAAATATATTTGATTCAGATCCTCCTCATAGGCTCTCCGGATATATCTGCTTAGGACCTAGATTCTTCAATAAGTCCTTAAAACAGCACTTCTTGATTCCAATAATAGGTTAATCACGTCATCTGCAAAAAGTAGTAAAAACTCAAACCAAGTAAGTTGCATTTGGTAAAGCGTACAAAGTAGAGACACACGTATAAAAAGACAATTTGCAAAGAAGACAAGACATTATTATGGGGCCTCTAGATGAATATAGTAAACCAGGTTTGTCTAACGGGGAAACATGCATTAATATCAAAAGAAAAACAAATGTATCCCACATGGAAACGCACATAGGTTTTAATATCTGAGAAGCATTTCATGCTGTGCCTGCCAGCAACTTCTCGCCTGTCTGATTTTACTTAACATAAAGGCCGACCTCACCTGCATAAAAATAATTAGGAAGCCGGCAGTCATAATTTTGGCTAGAAGTCCTTGCTGCCTGTGTTTTCTCATATGTTTCTGATCCACTGACACCTCTGTTGCTGTCTTTGAATGCAGGAACCATGGTCAGTAAGGAAACCAGCAAATGCACACTCCCGACGCCCGAGAGTGAAGTGGAGCCGGCTGCTTGCCTGGCCCTGGAGATGAAATATGCCCTGGATCCAAATCGGCAGATTAAAAAGCGTAACAAAGCCCTGCAGGTGCGCTTTAAGGATATCTGTGAGGCCCAGAATGAGCAGAGGGACACACACCTTTCCTCGGGACAGCTGGGCGAGAAGCGAGAGGCCAAACCCGTGTCTTGCAGAGCAGCGTATCGCAAGTACATGACGGTACCCGCACGCCGCTCCATTCCCAACGTCACCAAGAGCACAGGTGTGCAGACCTCACCAGACCTTAGGAAGTGTTACCAGACATTTCCTCTGGACCGAAAAAAAGGGAATCTCAAAAACATCCCAGCTGCAGAGCCCTTCAAAAGCCAAAACAATGGGTTCCTAACAGATGTGAAAGAGAAGAGCCAGGCTGCTCCCATGGAAGAGATCCAAACTTGCAGCGCGGGGAGGATATACAAGACAACGGCCTTGGTTTTCCATTCCAATGAGCATGTGAACGCCATGGACCTGCTCCCTGGGCTTAACTGTGCAGAGCCCTGCAAAGACCCAGATGTGTTCAGCCATGCAGAGGCTCTACTCCAGAACTCCTCACAGCCTCTCTCGGAAGAGGCTGTGCACCAACTGCAGAGGAGAGCAAAGTCCGAAGGGGGGACCCCAGACTCAGAAGAGCCTGCTCCACTGGCCCACGGGAGGGTGTTTAAAACAGAGGTGGCCACCTTATATACACCTGTCATCAGTGCTAGGACCCCAGACCCTGGCTTGTCGAACTCTGCTGCAGCCAGCCAGTGGTCCCTCTGCCCTGCAGATGAGGAGCAGAGGAGAGCCACACATCTCAATGGACTGCAGGCAACCCCCAGCTCTGCACTGGCCCGCTCGCCCCCAGTGCAGTGTCAGTCACCGGAATGTAAGGAGCAGCCCCTGCAGATTCAGCCCAGTGCCATGGCCATGGCTGAAGGTGAAGAATGCCAACAAATTGTGCCTCACACAGAAGTGGTGGACCTCAAGGCACAGCTTCAGATGATGGAGAACTTAATCAGTTCAAGTCAGGAGACCATCAAAGTGCTCTTGGGAGTCATTCAGGAGCTAGAGAAAGGAGAAGCCCATCGGGAAGGGTATGTATATACACTGTGTCTTACATGTTCTATACCTCATCACCCAAGTGTCCATCTATGAAGCCCCAAAGCTCAAGTGCATAGTGAGACTAAAGTCAGCAATTCTGCAGATAAGCTGTATACTAAACAGCAGATTGCAAGAGGTCAGACTGTATTGAAAGACTAAGCTTCCCTCATGGCATCCTCATCTCATGGTATACTTCTGGTTAGTAAGCATCTGTCTGGCCTTGGATTTAAACCATACCCATATTGTGAATGAACTGGTGAACCTTTCTTTTTCAATCTAGTAAAACTAAGAGTTTATGATCTTGATAATACATAATACATATGCCAGTCCAAAATACTTAAGATAATGTTTGCCTCTTAGGAATCATTACAGAAGAGAAAAAATTTCAGATGGTATTGAGAAAAGTGAATGCTGACTTAAACGCGAATAAGTAATTGGAATGACATTGACAATGAGGCTGCATAAGGTTTTATATAACAGACAATGTTTTTCATTCTTTTCTTGAAATACAAAAGAGTGTCCCTTACTAGAAAAGACAGATGCCTATTCTGATAGGGTGCCCTGCATGTCCAGTTGAGTTGCAGAGAGAACAATACCAAGTTTATAGTCAACACTGACTAGCATTGGTAAAACCTAGCTAGATCTGACCATATTTTGAAGTTGAAACTGTGACCACGTTGTTGAGCTCCCTAGCCAGACAGCCAGCCAGCCAGCCAGCCAGCCACCCACCCTAGCTGTGAGCCAGATAATGGGTTAAGAATGACACATCCAACACTACTCTGTGTCCGATTCTCTAAGCAGTACCCATGGCTCATCAACCTCTGAACTTGACCTGTCAAGTCCTCTTTACCACTCCTCCTTAAAAATGGTTTTCCCCCAGACTGTGTTTTGAGGTTAGGCTGAGGAACAGTGCCCTTTTGCCCTATGTGATCTTTACTTTGGTGGTTAAGGTAGCAAGCAGTGTGGAGAAAATAAGCCAGGTAATACAGGTAATATAGTATCAGAGCAAAAGTTCCTCAAGAGGACTGCTCTACATCTTTTTTTTTTTTTTGAATTTTAATTTTTTGTGCTTACTGCAAACAAGGGGGTGGGAGGGTTTCAGTGGCTGCTGACACGAAACAAGCGCACAGTAGAAGTGTAGGTCTGTATATTCCATGACAAAAAGTAAGGCTGTGGATCCAGTGTCTGGCAGGGGTACTGCCCTTGGCTTCTGGCTGTTCCAAAAGCCAAGTGTAGGTGGCTTGTCTACAAAATGAACATATCTTACTACTGCTCAACTCTGATTTCCACAGTAAAATTACATTGTGATTAAAAAGTAAGAATTAGTAGGTAAATGTTAAATAATTTAAAGATTGGTAGGTAATTAATACTAGGGAATTTTCAGAAAGCCTTGTTCAATCCTGGGCTTACATATCCATTTTCATCCCATTTCAATCATTTATACTTGAATCTGTACATAACGTAAAGCAACACACTGAAGACAAGGGTTATGCTAGGAATTTGTTGATCAACAGACCACATTCCTATGCAAGAATTTAAAAGCCCAAACAGTGACCCTGTCACTGACTTTGACATAGATAGCAGTGATTTAAAGCACACAGCAAAACAGATACAAATATAAACAGGTATGAAGTAAAATTCAATAAATGATGTAAAACCACATGTATATGTTAATATGCAAACTCACATGGGGAAAGTCCTGTGATAAACACTCAGTGAAAAGAAAACCACATTATTTATGTAGGTTCTTGTATTGGAACAAGGAAAGGAAGATTGTTTTCAGAGTCCTCCGTGTTCTGTTAAGACTGTGTCCAACTAAGTGTAACTTCTAGTGTAGTAAGGTGTGTCTGGGTGGGAATTATGTGTCTGAAGACTTAGGCAAGGGCTGTATCTCTGAGTGACTCACGTTTTCACCTCTAAGTTAGAGGACATCATTGTAACCAAGAATGAGGACAAGGAATGAGGATTATGTGAGTGATATTCTTGTGTGCTTGCCCAGTGGCCAGTGCACAGGTTTTTATCTGCCAATGTGGTGTAAGCATTGGTCTTGCTGGTCAATGACACAGTAGTTAGAATTGCAAGTCTCGGAACCATTGAAAGGCCCATGTCTGAATCCAGTATAATAGATATAGCCCCCCCAAAACACACACACTAGTAAGCTAGCCCATAGGATGCTACCCATTCTTGTCCCTAAAAGTGGCAGGGCTTCTATGTCTGACACTGCGGCAACTGAAACCTCTAACTCCAATTAATTACAAATTAGTCACAGTTGAAAATTCAGTTCCTCCATTACACTGACCACATTTCAAGTGCTCAGTAGCAAGATAGATAAAACAAAGCAGCTAGAGAACATGTCCCTCATCATGAAAAGTCCTTCACTCTGGTATCCCCAAATCATAGCAGTGTCTGGCTCCCAGTCACCTGAGGACTCGGGAACTTTGACCAAGGCGAAGGAAGGTTGACTTTGAAATCGGTCCCTGGTTCAGTGGCTGCTGACACAAAACAAACCGAAGTGAAGGTCTGTGCAAGGTGGATTCCCACATTGATGCAGATAATCTTTCTATCTACTTTGCTGTTTGAGTGCTCTGGGTCCAGGTTACAATGAATGAAGTGGTTTCGAACTTTGAGTCCATCTTAATACTTCTTCCTTCTGTCCATTCCCAAGGTCATTAGTGAACATCTAAATTTCTCACCTCTTTTCCACATCAGAATTTCAGACAAAGCAGAAGTCTCTAAGGAAGGCAGAGCAGAAGCAAGCTCACGATTCACACTCGCCCAGGCTTGGGTCCCACAGTGTCCCAGGGAGTGGGCCAATGAGCCACAGCCAGTGTTGTGCTGGGCATCTCCGACCACTCACTGTAAGGGACATTTCCCTGGTGTAAATACTGCAACAACTCCTAATTTCTGTCTGCTATCAAATATGGAAAATTTATCACTCTGTTCCTCTGGGCACCCAACCAATCGCTGAAAGACAGGTTTCAGGACAGTCAATTGAGAAGGATGATTTAACTTTATATATTTTATCTAGGAAGTAAATACATGTTTTAGTTGTATTTCTAGGTAGAATACAAGAAAGTACACTCTATGTAGATTATTACATAGTCATTTATATAGTCTTTTTTTCTCTTTTTATTATACTAGGCATTGAGCCCATTCTACATCCTCTGTCTTGAGAGACTGCATCTTTCTAGGTTCCCAGATTGGCCTAAAACTCTTGGTCCTCCTCTGTTAGCCTCTCCAGTAGTTGGGACTACAGGTGTGTACCACCATGCCTGGCTATTATATAATCTTTCTGTGAAATGAACAGGAATTGAATAACTGAACTAAAATACAGTTTTCCTTGTAAAAGATTCTAAAGCCTACAAGTTATTAACTACAGAAAATGCTCAGAAGCTGGGTAGAATCGATTCCTCTTCCCATCCAAAACCCTCAGTCAAGCATGGAAGGACATTATACAGAATTTCACTTGCATTAGGAAGAATCCTGGTGCAGGTTGGAAGGTTGGAGCTTATGAGTCTGAACCCATGTGATAAATCTTGCTCTCAGAATTTGATACCACTCAGACTAGGCTTTAACCTGGGCCTGTGAGGGTCCAAGACTACTCTTGTGTACAGTATTAAGTCAGAGTAAGCAATGCCAGCACTCCCTGCACTGCTTGTGGCCCTGAGCCATTAAGATTTATTTCTATATATTGAATTTATTTAATGTGTAATCTTATAAACAGCACATCTTTTCACTATCGAGTTATGACGCCAAGCTATTCCTAGTAGTCCTTACTTGGTAGAAGGATTTCTGTGTCACTAGCCACAACTAAATTTCAGTAGCTTCCAAATTATTTTTCATATGATATCCTGTCATTAATCTCACTTGCTTATGGAGACTTCTGGAAGGTCTTAACTGAGAAACTTTACATCTCATACATGTTACTTAACCATGGTAAGCTTCAATTTGTCTTCCATCAAATAGGAAGAGAAGTCTAAATATTGCATCTAGAAGCTTCTACCTATAACCAGCACAGAGTGGGTACTGAACAAAGCCATGTCCTTTTAAGAGCATTTCAATGGGATGCATTCTGTGAGTAGGTAGAAATGCAAAAAAGTATTCAAAACCATGCTTTTAGTCCTTTGTAAAATGTGTGTGCAGTTCTCTAATGTCTCCATACTTTATGCAGTGCAGACAGCATCTGATCAGTCAGCTAGCATGAATGCCAAGAATTATTCTGCTTATTTCAGAGCTCTCGATATTATTCTTGTCTCAGGGAGTTTGGAGTTATGTAGGCTATCTATATAAGTGGGTACTGTAGTTATTAAAGGCTAAAAATGGGCAACTGGACCACTGAATTTAAAAATTCAATGAAATCTTATAAACACTGGTAATTCCTTATAGGGCTATGGGCTGCCTGGGCAGGGCAGCTATAGACCAACTGGCTGAAGGCCATCAGTGCTTGCTGGGCAGACTTGCTAGCCACTTTGGTGTGGTAGCAGTAACAACACCCTGGTTAGAGACAACTTGGCTTGCTTCTACTATGTCTCATCCCCAAAGATTTAGGGTCTAACAATATTTTGCTACTTGGAGACCTGCAACCAGTCTGGAAGCTACATTAAAGAGCATCCAGTACAAGATTAACATCCACCTTGACCAGAATGAAGCAGGTTCTATTACTGGTCAGGTCTCTGCCAGAAGCTCCTGGGGTGCTTACAGTCAAAGGCAGTAAAACAGAAAGGGGATAGTGTCAGTAGGGGGCCAAAAGGATTCAGGCCATGCCAGGCCCTCTACCTCCAACAGGTAGAGACAAACAAAACCATGAAGCATTGGGAGCTTTGTAGTTATGCTGAATCAGAACAAGTGCAGGACCAAGACTTAAAAAGAAATATAACGTATCAACACGACCCAAGATATCTAATGGTTTGTAGGAAAGGTACAAACCCAGTGACTCACAGTCTCCTGCTGCCCCATCATGGGGACTTCTCCCGGAAGGCTGGAGGACAATTCA